ATAACATTTTGACTACATTCTTATTTTGTAAGAGCTGCTCTTTGCAATCGAAAGACTATTTATTCAAAATAAATCCACTCAATCCATGACTGTTTATGGGACACTGCTCTGCACAATTGGCTGACATGTTTCGCCCACAAAATACAGTCAATCCACTTTACAATATATTCTGTGAAGCGCTTTGAGTTGTCTCAATGACGTTGATGAGGGGCTATATCAAAAGCAAGCATCATTATTATTTGATACTAAAAACTAAATTTTGTGTATTCTTGTTTGGAACAAGCAGTTCTACCCCCACCCTCCATCCTGGAAGCCCTTCACCTCACCCCTTCCCTTTCCTCCTTCAAAGCCTGTCTCAAGACCTTCCTCCCGCCCCCACCCCACTTGATTCCAACTCCCAGCTCTGATGCAAACTCTTGACTATCCAGCAACTTGGGACGTCATCCAATGTGAAAGGTGCTATATAAATGCAATTTGTTGTTAAAGATAGAAAGTCATCTTTGCAAAAATGTCCTCACTTTTTTTGAAAAGTATGCCAATTCTACTATCCTGTTTCTTTTGATATATGTTGAACACATTAGATAAGGGACGAAGTGTAGAGGAGCAGGAAATGATGGATATTTCTCAGACTGGTAGAATGGAACAAGTGAAGGGAACTCGTGTTGTGCTCTGGTGTCTATAAAGCACCACCGTGTTTTGCAATATGCGTGGATATAAGAGGGAAACATTAAAGTTTGTTGATACTAAATTGGGAGGAATTAAACAATAATTGCATCAGACTTTAGGAGGACTTTGGATAGACTAGAAAATGGTCGGGTAAAGGGAGTGGCAGTTTAACGCTAATAAATGTGAAGTATTGATTTTCAGGTAAAAGTCTGAACGATAAAATACTTACAGGAGTGGAGTCAAAAGAAACTCAACGGAAGAAGCAGAAGGATCTGGCAGTACAAATAAATTGCAGCCAATGATCTATGAGCCTGCTTCCCGAAGGTGGTCTCTCAGCACTTTTGTAGACCGAGATGGCTATTGTAAAACTAAAGGTTGTACTGCAGTTTCTGAAATTGCACCAATTAATTCACACTGTGTAGGTTATCTGGTTGAAAAAAAATAGTCCCATATAACAAAATGACTTGTTTCATTGGTACTGTTTCAGTTTTAAGTAGAGTTGTAATTTTGACAGCTAAACGAGCATTTTATTAAGTAGGAAGTACTGCACCAATGCTGACTTAAGAAGATTGTTGTAGCTTTTTTTGTTCTTTACCATGTTTAAATCGCTTGGCAAATCAAGATTTTTTTCCCCCCCGTTTCTAATAGGCCCCGGGTTCACAGTATTGTATATTGTCAAATTTTACTTTCACTGCTTTGTCTAGTTCTGATAAATTATCCAGCATGAAGCAAACTGTTCCTACTGCGTAGGTGTATCCTATCTGACAGAAATCACATCTGTTCCTACTTCAGTCAATATTTGTTCAAGAATGCTCAATAGCAGACCTGCAAAAATCATGTGCATTTATGATACTGGTGTGCCATATGGTTTTATTTACATTTTGTGCTATGCAGTTGAGTTATTTTATCATTTAGCTTTGATTTTTTTTATTATTATTATTAAAGCTTGATTTTACAAAGACCAGGAAAAATCCTGCACGACCAACCTTTCCTCATTTTTACTACTTTTCCTTGTTTTCATTGAGTATTAATCATTTGATGGATTTCTCATTAAGTGCCCTTTTTGCGTGCCTGTATTTACGTTGTTCACTAATGCACTTACCCCCAAAGTGACTCATTCTTACTGGCACCAGTTGCTATGGCAATCTGGACTCGATGTGCCTTTTGCACTCTGTGTTGGCCTCTAAGCTGCAACATAAAGAATTAATTGAATTGTAAAGGAATTTTTCATGTAAAATTTGATAATCGTTCCTTCTGTAAAATTCATTTATGCATCATAAAGAAGAATGGTTATCTCTTGTTAAATGTCTTCAGTATTCTTTACATTGAGTGTAACTGCATATCACATCTTGAATTATTGTCATTGTCTAAGGCTGTGATAATGTTAACGGACTCATCCTTCTGTTCATCATTTTGATTTAATCGGCTTTCTCGTTTAAAACAGTAATCACATTTAATGCTGATAATATTAATATTTCATTCATCCCTCAGTATTTTAGATTATTATCCAATAAGTACATACTGACTGGAATATGTATATGTAGAGTATTGAGAAAAAACGTTTTGTAAAGGGGTTGAAACATCCTTGTGTTTCTAAAGCTGCTTTAAACATAAAATGGAAAAAGTTCATTTTCGGAGTAACTCATCTTGAAATTTCGATTTACAGGGTTTTTTTTGGTTATAAAAGTAAATTGGATGGCTTTAATCTGTTCCTTCAACCTCAAGAAAAACTAAAATCTGCTACTTTTATGAACTAAATTATTTTGACTTAAGTTCCATCTTGGTTTATATATAACAAATAGATTTGTGAGCTCTTTAAGGGTTAAGGCATAAATTGGATAAAAGTCCTCATACATGCAGCAATGTACCATTGTTCCTGCTGCTTCCTTCAAAATGATGCATGTTGTCACGGTCCACATTAGTGGCTGCTGCTTGCCTTCATAAGTGAACTGACTATTGTACTAGATCATTTGGGTCTACATCAATTTGGAGCCCCGAGTCTTACTGTCTTTGCATACATTATTTAGTGAATGTCTCTGTTTTGTTAGCAGTTGTGTGCTGCATTGTATGCTTATGTGTTAGTTATGCAGGGCCTTTCATTAAACAGCAGGGTGTTATTAGCCATCTCCTGAAAGGGCTTTATATTGTTTCTGCCTTGTTTAAACTCAGCCCAGAAGCTGACTACAGACTATTGGCCAAGCAATGAATTGGCAACTGATGACAGGCCTATAGAGGACTTGAGGCTCAGGTGGCTCCCGGCCTCAACTTTAGCTGAGCTCTTTCAACAATTTGTCACGCCCAAGCCTACTCCTGCTGCGCCAGCACGTGCCAGCTTAGTGTCAAAGCGCCTGTTCGCCAGACGGACACACCAGCCCAACAGCCTGCTGTTGACGAGGCCAGTGGCTTGCTGTGGCAATATGGAGTGAAGAGGCCTAGCAACAGCCAGCATGTATTGCAGCAAAAGAAGGCTCCTAATGACTTCTGAATGGCATCAGTTGGTCCCTACAGAATTGACAGAGAATGTGTGCCCCTGCTCTTCCCAAATTAAGCAGGCTATTCATTAACTTGGGTCATCAGAATTTTGAGTCTCTTTTGACAATGGCCTAACCATAAATAAACTCTGGCCCATGTTTCAATTATAACGTTTATTGATGAGCATAGAAAGAATTGTGAAATAAAATAACTTGGGGTGTGGTGTACACTGATCAACCTTACACAACTTGACCCTTTGAGAGTGTTTCACTCAGCACTGTTTTAAGATTTTTCTACTTGTCTACTTGCATATCACATACAAGTCTTTTACCAGAAAATGTTTCTACTAAATTTCATATCGCCCAAAGCCCACCCCCAAAAAATAAACATTTGAAGAATGAGACAATTATTCATTTACTACACAACTAAAGTAAAACATTTGGAGCAAATGGCTGAGGTTAATTTATTCATTTTATTTTCAGACTTTTTTCATGAAATGCTCTTAAGTAGTCTGGTTTTGTTTGAGTGCTTCTGAATCAGTGTCCGTCAACTTGCCGCTCTGAAAGAGAATGGATGGCATCAGGTTTTACAAGGAGCAGGATTTTGTGCATGATTTATTACTGTATTTTGTTACTGCTTCTGTGGAACTTTACACAAAGAGAGAAAATAAAAGCTCTCCACAATGCATCATGAAAAGCAGCTACAAGCAGGGGTCCTATTAGGGCAGCTGCCAGGTTGTTGAACCCTGTCATGATTTTAACTTATTGGTGACTGGTTTTGATTACCGCACCACTTCCAAGTTTTACTCTGGTCATAGGAAAGCAATTCAGTGGTGTTTTATTGCAGATAATGTCATCAGATTTTTAACAGTGCATTTCTTGTATGGGGGAGAGTGGTATTTTGCTGCTATTTTCTCTTAGTTTTAAACTTAGGTTAAATAATATTTTGTGGCAGGTTTGATGTGCATTGATTATGAACTTTGATGCTGCTGAAATTGTATACTGTGCAGTGGTGCATTGACTTCTTCCTAAGATGTCGATGTTAAGTTCATTTTAAATGGTTTTGACTGATTCAAGGTTTATGGCATATAGCAGCCAGATTTTTGTTAAAAGGTGGACTGTGGAAAAATACTTCCTCACTTAGGATTGAACTGCTTGCACAGAGATTTGCATGTGAAAGAAAGAGCATGTGTTTTTATAGCGCTTTAACATGTCAAAATGTCTTAAAGCACTTCATGGGTAATTACTGTCAAGTGTAGTGACTATTTTGTAGGCAAATGCAGCAACCATATGCACCAGCTAGGTCCCACAAACAGCCATGAAGTAATCTAGAGGATATGTGCCTTAAAAAATATAATATTGCTCGATGTTCCCTTTTCTTACAGTATGGGATGAATGTTTGTCAACATGTTAAATTCTGAGGATGTGTGCAACAATAGAAGCCTTGTAAATATGAGTGGACATTTTTACTTTCCTCAACTCAAGCGCTCATTTCCTATTTAGGTATTTCAAAATATATTCTGCTGAAGTGAAACTACAAATGATTTACAAAACTGTTGTATTACTGATGTAATTATACATGCTGGTTATTGTGTGTGACATCTGTTTTCAGTGAACATAATTCATCTGAGTAGTTTAATTTATAGTACCTGTGCTATTAAATAAAAGGAAAAACTGCAAGTAGATGTATAATAATGGAACAATCGAGTTTGCAATATTATAAGTATTTGATTTCACTTAACAAAATGTAATATATGTTTTGATTAAGGACTCACTTTTAAAGTGGGCTTAATCATGGTGTTGAGGACTTTTAATATGCTTACTTGTTTGTGCTGGTGGAGATATCCTTAACCTGCTGTATAGCTATGAAGAAAGAGCTCAGTACGTTGAAGCAATAGTTCAGCAACACAAAGAGATCATGACATTTGAAGATTTTGCAGCTCAAGTCTTCTCCCCTACCCCAAGCTACTCGCTCAGTAACATGGGTAAGTCTGCATTATTCTTTTATTTATGGAGCATTTCAGTGACAGATGTACACCAATTTTCTGCAGATAAACGCTTACAAATTCAAGACCATCTTTCTTCCTTATAATAAACTAATGAATATCAAAAGAAATGAAGGTGCTCATTTAAATTTTTTGTATCAAAGCTGTTCCTTCATCAATTTTCAAGCCTTTTCTCTCAGTTGGCTGGTTAACCTTCCAATCCAGCTAGGTTAATGAACTTGCCGAGAATAATGTCTTCACATGGAGTGTAGGGTACGGATTACTTGCTGTGCAGTGAATGTGTTATACAGGACTTTGCCTGAATTAGTAGTCAATTGAGGGTGCACGATCTGACAGCACAGGAGTTGTTGATATTTCATATTGATGATGCAACTGCTCAGTTTGTAAAGGAGGCTTGCACAGTAATGCTCTAGAATCCAGGTGAAATGCACGTCAGTTATTGAGAGGCAAGGCTAAATGCAAATAAAAGTTAAAAATGTTCAATTGACTGCTTTAAACTTTTGACTTCCTTCCAAAATATCATGCAAGTGCTCTTCAAAATTCATGATCTTTCTGCAGGGTATATGCCTTCATATTATAAATGTTTCAAAGTGACGAGTAGAATCCTTAGATTAGCTTGTTGACTTTAACGTGTCTTTGTTCCTATTCATTAAGTATCTTTGCATTCAGGCTGAAATTTACTTGTGCTTTGTTAAGACAAAATATTCCTGGGAAGTGATAACATTTAGTTCCAGCATAGAGCATTCAGAACAGGATACCAGGGTTACATTTTCTGCTCTGACTGACCCTCTTAATTGGGGCTAAGAAGAGCTCTCACCCCAAGCTCCACAAACAACAAGAGAGGTTTGCATGAAGAAACTCTTGTGACCCATTTATCTCATTCTTCCAGACTACTCACCCTACCATCTTCACTTGACAGCATAAAGCTGTTTCTTAAATGAGTTGCGGTGCTGAACATCAGTTAATTTTTTTAAAAAAAGCAGTTAAAGACGCAGTGGTGCTACAAGCTTTTAAAAAGCTTGAACTTTGAAACTTAGAGATTTAAATACATTTTGTAATTAGCTGGTTAAAAAAGATTAATACTGCAGCCAGAGTATTGATTGGATTTCTGAAACCCATTGAGACCACCAATGGAAGGGGGAAGGAATTTACAAGACACAGAAACCACACTAGTCAGAGAAATGTTTTCTGAAGCTTTCTGATACCTTTGCACAGTAAATTCCTGGTAACTCATCACCTGGACCAATAGAAAAGTGCGAGCATTTTTTTTGCAAACCCTTGCAGGAAATTGCGGAGGGCTTTGGTAAATTTTGCGGGGAAAATTGCAGAGCTGATTGGTGTTGCTGCTATTGAGGTATATTTTACTACTGCATTTTTTAACTTTGTTGATGAAAACTAAACAAGGAAATAATATTAGATTGTTACAAAAACTATATATTGATTACTTCTTTAACATAAACTGGATGGTCCAATTTTATGGGGGGTAATGGGGACGCCAGCGAGTCTTCAGGAGCTCACCACCTCCTGCAAATCACCACACACAGACCCAGACACCCAGAGAGAGATGCACAGAGAGAGACACACGCACTCACAGACAGAGACACACACTCACAGACACAGAGAGAGAGATACATATTCACAGACACAAAGAGACGCACACACATTCACAGACACACACACTCACAGACAGAGAGAGACACGCGCACACTCAGACTCAGAGAGAGAGACACACACTCACATACACACACACTCAGAGACACAGAGAGACACACAGACATATAGATAGACATACAGACACAGTGAGACATATTCTCAGGGAAAGAGACCACACACAAGCACGCGTATAGACATAAAGCGACATACACAGACAGAGATTCACACAGACACTCATAAACATACACACATATAGAAGAGACATAGCACACTCACATAGAGACACACAAAACAGCAGGGCCTCCCAAGCGTAGCCCATTTGCTACTTGCACCACACTGCACATGTGATTCCGGAGCTGCTCCGTGCACAGTGACGTCAGTTAAACAGCGGGAGAGAGCCGTGGGCCAGAAACTACATTTATGCTGGGTTTGTAGCTTGCGAGGGTCTTTGTAGCGTAAAAGGTGCAGCTGTACTTTTCTATTGGCCCAGCTCATCACTCCAAGGGTAAATGATTTAGTGACGAGTTATCCAGAGTGGCCAGTTAGAGCATCTGTATAAATAATAAAATAAATAAATGCAGCTGGGATATTGATAGCTTGATGACTTAAACCATAGCGGCAAGTTAAACAAGGGTCAAATTATCAGGAGTTCACTGTATTTGCATTAGTATTTAATTGCCAATTGTGCAGTTTTAGTAATGTGAGGGACACCCCAAAAGTAATGTCTCTTATTTATTTTGAGAAGATTGGTAAGTGATCTAGTAATGAAAAACATACACAAGATACTTTGATATATCCCGCCCCTGCTGTGAAAGTTTTGTTTACTTCTAACCAGATGGAGGTATGTGAAAGCAGTCCAAAATGGCACCTAGCATTGATACTCGTGTTAAGCAGACAACAGTAATTGAATTTACTCAGGGGATATCACCGATTGAGATTCACCATTGCTCGATGAAAGTGTATGGACAGTTATGTGTTGATGCGAGTACTGTAAACTGCTGGATAAATCATGTGAAAAGTGGAGAAACTGAACTTCAAGATGGGTCTCCCAGTGGGCGGGCGGCAACAGTTGTTAATGAAGAGAATACCCAGAAAGGTGATGAACTGATCCACAAAGATCGACGCATCACTCAGCAGGAGTTGAGTGAGAGTCTCGGTATCGGTCATTGTGCCGTAGACATGATTATTGGTAACCTTGGTTACTCTAAAGTTTGTGCACGGTGTGTTCCACAAATGTTAGCCGTGTCTCACAGGAAACCAGAAAGGCCATTGGCACATTATTTTACTATAACGGCATTGATTTCACATTGGCGAAGTGTGCAGATCGTGATGGTGATTTTGTGGGAAAATATCTGCACTGGTGTATTTAAAAACCGTTTCTTTTGGGTCTATGTTAAGTTTTGTAAAGTAACAATTAAAGAATTGTGAGAAAATAGGAGGCATTACTTTTGGGGTATCCCTCGTAGCAATAGTATGTCCAAAAGAAAATCATACTTTCTGACAACAAGTGACGTTTGGACAGTTACTAACATCTAATTGGAGAAGTAAATCTTTATTAATTAAACAGCAATTAATAAACTGTTCACTCTAATAGCATTATATATTCAGGAAATCCAGGGAAGAAAGTCTAATGCATTATTACACTATCTGGCCTATAAAACTAGGGATACCTTCCAATATGCTTCTTTACTGTATGTTATGAAGCAATTATTGTGATTACCCCCACTATATTGTATCATGTAAAATATTTTGGTTCTCAAGACTTTGTTCCAATGAGGATGCATTATAAGCATTGATAAAATGAAGCTGTTTGGATGCCAGTGTAGAAACATTTGTAAACGTTCAGTTGTCAAGCAAAGAAAATGCATAACTAGTCAGCCCCTTTTGTAATGAGACACTTAATTCTTCAGCTTTGAGGCTTAAATAAAGTTCTGCGTGTTATTCAATTATTTGCTCTTGTTCAGCTTCACATATTTGTTAATAAACACTCTACATTAAAGCCATAAAATAAAGAAAATAAATTAAATTCACTGCAACCCATTTAGAAATTTGGATTGAAGTATAAAACGTTGACTAATACGATCAGCCATGCGTCATTGTAGCGCACTGTTTGCTAATGTCAGTGTGCATTTGTGGCTTTGTAAGTAGATAAGAGTTGCATGCTTGTATTGGTCGTCCATAGCAGCAGGCTTTGCAGATAAGCTTACTGACACTGGCAGAACCAAAGATAGCCAGCATTAATCGCATAATCATTCTCTTAGGAACAGGAAGAGGAACAGAGCGGGAAAAAAACTGTCTCACTTCTATTGCACTTTCATTACAGCTTCAGAAACATAGGAGCTATGTATTCCATTACTGCAAGAGGACAACTGAATAGCTTTAATGACACCCAGAATCGCCTTACAAAAAGAGGAGAAAGGGCAAGCCTGGTAGTAGCATTGGTAGTGGTCGTATTGAATTCTTGACTCGAAATTCATATCTGCTGAGTACTCTTTGGGTTCCTGCACCAGATTGCTATGCAAAGTCTGCGTGCTGGACATGATGGGTTTCAGCTATGATGCACAAATAGCTACCAGCACGCACTTTCAAGATTCATACACAGCCAATTGCACAGCAATGCCTTGCAGAGCATACTCCAGTAGAAGTTTAAAAAAAAGTTTAACATTTTCAAGAGAAAGTGAGGAGGACAGAAAAGTAGTATGAGAAAAGAAATAGCATTTCAGAGGACAACATTTGATGATGAAGGAGATAAAAATGTGAATTATCCTTTGCTAATATAAGAAGAGTTTTCTGTAGAGTTTCAAAAGTGCAATATCAAATCTATTTAATGAGAATAACCACTTTGAAGCTTTTCCAAAATGTCTCTGATAAATTTTACAAGAGAAAACATTCATGTAATGTGCATTTATGGTGATGCTGGACTAAATTGCTACCAGGAACCTATTTCTTCCCCAGCAGCTGACATAGTGCCTTTAATTGGAGGACTGAACTATTGATGAACAGTGAAATGTGTTGATAATCTGCTGCTTATATGCCTTCAATCTGCTGTAACAGAAGAATGATTTGGTTTATGAATCATTGTCAAGCTTATTCGCATAGTTGGCAGAGTGGTGTGTTGCTCTGGTTTCATGGAGCATTAGCAGTTGGTAAAAAGAACCATAGAACCGTAGAAGTAGCTTCAGTACAGTAACAGGGAGTCTTTATTTCAGATAATTACAATATTGATTAGCATTAGAGTAAAAAAAATACAATATTTGCATCTGGAGTTGCCTAGATTGACAATAGTGAATCAAGTTCATTACCACAAGTACAGCAGAGTCCCCACA